TTAAAAAACTCTTATCTAAACAACGTTGTTTGGTTTTCAACAATTACACGAACGAAGTCGCGGGAACAGCTAGTCTAACATAAATAATACTATAAATTGAATCGCCATGCTTGCCTATATAAGTCCTATTTGTAAACTTGCAACCACCAAGTGCTTGCAGTGTTACTAAATTTTTTAAAATTAACGAACTTGTATTTTCAAAATGAACGTCGCCCATAATGAACGGTAAGCTAATTTAAACCTCATTCTCTTCTTAAAGAGCTTTTTAAAGTCAAAAGTATTGAGATTGGAGTTTTCATCATGTAAAATCCTTTTAAAAAAATCATCTGTTAGGAACTCCCAAAAGCTTACATCATTTCACAAAATGATGTGATGTAGGTACCTAGGTACCTCTACCTGTTTAGGTATTTATAGTAATCGATGAGGATAATATTTAATATATCATCTTCGCTGTTATATTTACCTAACCTATTTACCAAACAATAAGAGGGTAAATTAAAATCAACCGGCTTCATCTAGTTTTTCACATATAAATTGACGAGTAAAAGTGCCGTTTTATGGCCTATTGGCAAAAATAAATTCATTGTTTCATTGTTTCAACATAGAAATACTAGATTTGTGCATGGCTAAAATTTTGTAGAAAATTTGAAAGTATAAAGCAACCATTTAACCAAACTACAATTACTTACGAAATATTTTCCAGTGGAAAACTATTATACAACAACGTCCTGGAGATTATTGGACACACGCCGCTGGTGAAACTAAATCACATACCAAAAGACCATGGATTAAAATGTGAAATGTGTAAGTACTTTGTGCCTTAGCTGCTTATTTTATGTTTTACTGTTAAAACGTTTTGTCGTAAATTCTTAGATACATGTTAATCTATATACCTCAATAAGAATGAATCCTAATTTCTCTTGGTCATGGCATCACGCATGAACGGCTTGACTGACTCCGAAAACCGAGTGGGGAATTGCCAAATAGAAATAATAAGTAGTTAGAAGTCTAACTACTTGTAAATGCTTGGCAAGTTTCGATAAAGGGTGCTATTTATACTATAAATATTTTGCTGTTATACAAAAGATAGAGTCGTGGTGGCCCGGAGGTTAAGGAGCCCGCTTCTCATGCATGAGGGAGTGGAGACATCGGTGATATACATAAGTTGAAGGAGCCTTTTTCGCAAATTAACGTTGTACACAATTAGTGAATGGATCCGAACGTTTGCCAAATATATTAGTATCTTTACAAAACACAGATTTCTTTTCTTTGGTCAACTTCTATACCGCGCCAGATTAGTGCGGGGCAGAATTAGCTCCGGTGTGATCTCGTGGAAAAGTGGAAAGAATCTCTATCTCAAACGAGGGCCGGGCCCGCTGTTACAACGACAAATTGCGGATTTACCCTTATTTCACACCCCCGAGACTATATATACACTATTATAGTGACGCCCAACTCGCGGCCACGATCGACGTGAACGAACAGTGAAAGTGCATAAAAACTCAAAGTTACGATAAGTTCTAGTGTTCCTATTGTGCAAACACATGCTGTGGACCCTTTCCGATAGTGCATTACACAAGAAATATCGCAGAACCAGCGCAAATACCTACGCAAACAAATTTGGGCGAGTCCACTTTTCCCGCGCGTTACCGGCGGCGTCAGTTGGTATATACCTACCATACCGACTCACTCAACGTACCATCCTTGAAGTCATCACCCGTGCTCTTCGAGCGAGTAACAGCGCAAATTTACTGTGACCATGCCGCCGAAGAGAAGAACTGGAAGAGATGAGGGATCGGAATCCGACACAGACGTCGAGACGAACAGAACTGTGGTTTCGTCACCGAATTATATAATGTCGGCAGATATGCTCAAAACCCTTGTCTCCAACATCACTAGGAGTCAAGTGGAAGCAAACAGAGTTTTGATTGAAACTATTTTGGCGGGAAACAGAAACCCGCCAAGTACGGCGTCACCGCGCCGCGAAGACGCCGACGCTCGTACGTACGCGCCACGCGTAGGTAACTTCGCGAAGTGTACGGCGCGCTTTAGTGGATCATCGAGGAACGCGGATGAGCTCGAAGCTCTTATAGAGGCCATCGAAGTCTACCGCGAGTGCACCAACGTCAGCGACGAGCACGCGCTGCGCGGGCTGCCGATGCTGCTGGTTGGCGAGGCCGCCGTCTGGTGGCAAGGAGTGAAGTCGTCGGTTACGTCTTGGACCGACGCCCTGCAGCGACTTCGAGGGATGTTTGGAGTGCCGCGACCCGGTTATAAGATCTTCAGAGACATTTTCGCTACCGAACAAAATAGTGAACGGGCCGACGTGTATATTTGTAAAGTGCGCGCTTTGTTATCGAAATTACCGTACGTAGTACCGGAGATAATGAAGTTGGACATTGTATACGGATTGTTAGATCGTAGAATAAGAAAACGCGTGTGCCGTGATTCCGTCGACGGGCTAGAGCAACTCATCACCAAAGTCAGGTTAGTCGAGGAGTCACTGGCGGAGGTAAGTTCTCCCATTCATAATAATAATGATACGAGCCTTGTTGACTCGTGCGTCACGCGTGACCGTTCTGACACAAACCGGAGTCCTACCCTTTCAAATACCGTCGTCGAACCTATTAGTTCAAAATCATTATGTAGCGCTAAATCTGTAATAAGTTCACGCGATGCGGCCATGTCAGGTGAGGCCTCCGCGTCTAACGTAAATAATAATATTTACGACGTACGTAAGCGTACGCGACCGAAGTGTTCGTACTGTAAACTCTTCGGACATACAGTCGAGGACTGTCGTAAGAAGAAGCAAAATAGTGATTCTTCTAGTAATCTTAATAATAGCTCGCAGGTACGTTGCTACGGATGTGGTCAGCTGGGAGTAGTGCGATCAAAATGCGAAAACTGTAAAATTACACTTAGCTCGAGTAAAGCAGATTTTTGTAGTGCTTATACCGTAAATATGAGCGACGGTGATTCGCGACCGCTGATAGACATTGAAGTAGTTGACCGTAAGGGCGTGGCCATACTGGATACAGGTGCCACACATTCTATTGCGAGCCCTATGCTATATTCTTTGCTTGTTGACGCCGGCGTGGCCTTTAGGAAGGTTTTGCGTACCATTGGTCTTGCTGACGGGTCACAGCAAGAATACATCGCGTTGGAGTGTGACGTCAACGTCATTTTAAAACAACGCGTGATACCTACCACGTTTATGGTGCTACCGAAGGCACGAACTAGGACGTTGCTCGGTAGAGATTTTATTACAAAAGCGAATATCCTGTTGGATCTACCACAGTGCAGCTGGTGTTTTAACGACGAGCCGGGTTGGCATCCGTTCGCCACCAGATCCGCTTTACCTACTGGCAACGATATGGAGCTGATGAAGGCAGCAGCGGACATTCGCGAAACTCAACGCGAGGAGTCGGAGCACGATCCGTTCAGGGGGAGGAGTCGGTCTGACCGCGGCTACACCACGTCCGCCGGAATATTATGCAGGCCTGGCCCTGAACAGGGAAACCCAGAAACGGCATTTCTGATTACCTCCAAACATGCTCGCGAAGTTTATGGTAGGAACCGAACAAACCCGAAACGTAGCCCTGCGCCGGAATACTCCGCGGGAGGTCAGGTTCGTTTAAAGACGCAGGGTAGCGTCGGCGCGAAACGGGAGTGAGTCCCCGCGCCGGCGACCGTGACGCACGCGCCCTTGTATTTGTGCCGCGAACTTTGATTAATTGTTGTTATAGTATTAGTTTGCCTGTATAAAGTATCTCAATATATTAGTTATCACTATTAATCGTGTGTCGAACCCTTATTTCACACCCCCGAGAACCCTATACACTATTACAATACTTAAATAAAAAAAACTTTAAAAGAGAAACCGAGACGAATAAAATTGTAAAAAATGTTTCGTATTGGCGGGTAAAATTAATCAGTTTTCCCAATGACGTATTATATATAGACACGTCATGAACCAACATCGCGGCGCTTAAAAACGGCGAAAATACAAGATAACTACTTCTACGACTAAAGAAAGGGAAAGCAAATATGACATCGTATAGTGGAATGCCTTTGCTAGAGGGAGATAAATATACATCTTCAGTTATGCCGACGGCACGTGACTATACCTTCATGCGCCGGCCGCCACAAGATGGCGGGCACCGGCGTCGAAAAAAATAAAATAAAAATAGGTTGTTTGGTGAACTTACGCATGAAATGACACATTTTTGTATTTAACTTTTAGAGTATAATTTGTACATCCTCTGAACACACACGACGGCATGCTTTCTTTAGTTTCGCACAGGTTTACACACACGATATAAATTATAACAAACGTAGCGTCGCGCGGGAGGTTGGTGCGTGACTAAGCGCGATGTTGTCAAATTGCCTTCATTTCATGTTGCCATTTTAGAGCGCGGACAACGTATCTATAGATTTATACATCATTGAGTTTTCCTATGCGCGCGCATCGGCCATAGACTATCGTGTAAAATTAGGTTTCTTTTTTTGGGCTTTTCGTGGATAGCATATTAGCGCAAGTGTAGCTCAACCAATAATATAAAAAAGCTATTATTAGCCACTCGTGAATAAAAATAATGTAAAAATCTATTTGATTATAGGTGTCATTATTTCCCTAATTGCCATGGGATTAGAGGCACTTCATGAGAAAGTGTGTTGCAAAATTCTTAACTACCTTAAATCATGTTTCAAAATGTTAGGATTTTTTATAAATAAAGTTTTTTTTTTCTAGACGTGAAATGTGAGTACGTCAACCCAGGAGGTTCGATCAAAGACCGCATTGCACATACGATGATCCAAGAAGCGGAACATGCAGGCCTAGTAAAACCTGGTGTTACCAGATTCGTTGAGCCCACTTCTGGGAATACTGGCATCGGATTAGCTCTCGCAGCTGCAGTTAAAGGTAAGGATGTAATAAACTTGTCTACGTTTTTTATAGTCATTGCAATCACAAAAAAAAACTTAATGAATTATATTTTTAGGATATAAATGTACCATCGTTACTCCTGACAAGAACTCCGGTGAGAAAATGAGTACGCTGAACTTGCTCGGTGCTGAAATAATCCAAACTCCATCCAATGTCCATCACCAGGATCCCGACAGCTATATGTCAGTCACCAGGAAGATACTAGAAGAAGACCCCGATGCTTATTGTTTGGACCAGGTAAATTACATTTGCACGTTGTGTTCACCCGCGGCTCACAAGACTCCGCGATAGAGCACGCAGGATATAATTCAGCTGACACCTTTATTACAATTATTCGTACGGAACCTAAGTTACTTGAAATAACAAAAGTCGTAATACCCTCAATGTCAATATTTATAAAGTCGAGAATAGTGTTATTTTATTAGGTGCCCTTTTTGTGCACCTAATGAGGGCTTCAGAATTAGATGTTCCCAAATTCGAAAGCAAAAAGTTTTATGGAGAAACGAGCAGGATGAATTGAAATTGAGATCGACTTTCGTCAGTTCTACATATTTTTACCAAACATCATATATATGTATCTCTCTCTCATCTGTACTATTTAAAATGTGATTAAAATGAGACAAATTTCTTTTGAAAACAAATATACACTATATTTTATTTTAGTTTTCAAACAAGTACAATCCTTTGACACACCACGAGCATACGGCAGTGGAAATACTTGATGCCCTTGGATCTGTGGACATGTTTGTGATGGGCACCGGCACCGGAGGGACGGTCACAGGCACGGGTAGCAAGCTCAAGGAGGCGTGTCCTAACTGCATTGTGGTCACTGCGGACCCTTACGGCTCTACCATTTTCGAAGATGGACCGCAATTGCCTTATTTCGTGAGAATATTATTTTATTTATAAATCTATGGTATACTTATTATAATCGATCTGGTGGAAGGTTTAGAAATAACAGCCTAACCGCATCAAAAATTAAATTTGTGTTGCTTAAAGTATTATTGGGATATTTTCGAAATATCCCAATAATACTTTTGCACAACCATTAAAATACCTGGCAATAACCTAAGAAACGTATAAATGTATATCGTGATCGTAATTATATAAAATCAATAGACTGATACAATTCAAATTACTTTCACCTACCTACCTATAGGTAACTATAGTTACCTATAGGTAACTATAGTTACCTATAGGTAGGTACTTACCTATAGTTTTTTTTTGTGTCAAATGACTGCTCCCGCCCAGGGCCGGGCGGGAGGGAGTGTCAGACTCTTACTTACTAAAAACCCCCCTGTTCCTTCTCCTGCTCTGGGCCGAGGTCGCGGTGCCTCATTGCGCTTACTCCGCAACCCCGGCTGAACATCAGCCGTTTAGGGCCCCGTCTGTGGTGGTCGCCGTACGCTCGGGCCTGGTTCTGGTCGGGCGGCGAGCTGCCCTTACTCGCCGACCGCAGACCCGTGCTTACGGTGGCCGGAGATCGTCCCTTGATCCCCGACGCCCGTAGTATCGCCAGTTGCGGCGGCTGGGGCGTGAGAAGGAGGATTGCTCCCTCACGCGGGCCGCCTCTCTCTTTATAGTACCTATAGTAATGTGTAATTTACAGGTGGAAGGAATCGGCGGAGACTTTGTCCCAGAAGTTTTGGATAAACATGTTATTGATCAAGTTGTTAAGCCACATGATTACGAATCATTTAATATGTCCAGGGAATTAATTCGGAAGGAAGGATTGCTTTGCGGTAAGAATATACGTTTAGAAATTAAATTAAATTCAAAATAAATTAAATAATAATTCTGAAATAGCGATTCATACTAACAAGATCTCACAGTGTGTTTAAGAAATTAATAGATTACCTACCTATTCAGCTTCTTGTCAATCTGGCAACATAATATTTGTATGACTTGTATATACTTTCAGGGGGTAGCAGTGGAGCGATAACATATGCAGCAGTACAGGCTGCTAAGGAGCACAATTTGGGACCACATCAAAAAGTGGTGATCATTCTTCCCGATGGCATTCGCAACTACATGTCTAAGTTCGTCAATGATCAATGGATGGAGGCGCATCTCTTCAAGCCAGTTCCTAAACGGGACTTTCCGTAAGTATGAAAATAAATCCTGCCAGTTTATGCCGGTGCTGGCTCTTATCCTATGGCAATATGGAACATAATGACACCTATTATCAAACTCAAACAATCATAACTCAAACAATCAAAACTCAAACAATAATTAAAAAAAAGCTCTACTACTCACTTGTGAATAATAGTAATAAAAAAGTCACAGTTTGATATATTACGTAGGTACCGTTGCCGTGGGATAAGAGCCACTTTATAAGGAAGTGTATTGTCAAATTAAGTTACAAAAACATGCACGGGCGAGAAAAACTCGCACTTGGCCGCTTTTTTAATCAGTCTCCAAAATTCATCCTTCCAGGTGGTGGTCGAGACATATTTCGAATCTTGATATTATCCGCACTGTGCCTAGTATCGGAGAGAGTAGCTCCTGTCTGGAAGCCATTGCTGTTATGGAACAAAAACACAGCAACGTTGCATTCATAGTCAACGAAGACGGGTAAGAGCTAGTTTTCGTGGTAGATATCACCTGGTATACGCATCTTGAATGGTTTGTCTTGACTGGGGAAGTCCAACCCTCTAACAGAATATAATAAGATACCTATAGCTTTAAGCGTGTAGTAGAGACTGTCACCACTAATGGTATAATATAAGACATAAATCCCTTATACAATTAAAATTATTTAAATTCAAGATTAACCAATTATTTTCAAAAAGCTTTCTTGCAAAATTTCTTAGTTACCTACAGAAACAAGCCTAGGGTGTGATATGGCATTGATCATACATATTGCTTGCTCCATATTTATTTAGTTCTTACGTATAAGTATGTATAGGACTTAAAAAATATTTATTTTAGATTGCTCAAGGGTGTCGTTACCAAAGACAGTTTAAGAGCTGCAGCCACCAATCCCAAGTGTAACAATCCACTCAATTTCCATGACAAAGCAATTAAACATGTTTTGAAAAGACTTCAAAAGATTATAGAAAATAAAGAAAACCCAACTGTTGGATTGGCAGCGAGAATATTAGACATAGCACCGTTTGTCGCGGTCGTGGAAGAATACAAGAATGGCAACAACAACATTCCAGGTGAATATTGTATTCTTAACTTTAATAAGGTGATTTTTTCATACAGTAATGTTACCCGTACTTCTTAACTTAGTCAATGTCGCTCAGACACGAGACATCTACCGCTAAACATAGCCCTCTCTTAATGACTTCCAGAATGGCGACCGTTTATCACGTCGTATTTGATCTTTATCGTCTCGTTTGTCTTGGGGGACGTAGTAGTAGAATATATCGGATAATGGAATGTGGTAGTTTCAGTAAAGGACGTTCTAAAAGGATGTTCCAAATATTCCATTCAATGTTTATCAACGTTTTATTTGTTAAATACAATCTGTTTAGATCACCTAAGTCCAAAACACATACTGTTTTGGACTTTGACTCAATCCATATTAGACCGGGCACGCTGTTATAGCAGCGGTAGGACCCCTCTTTGAGGAGTGGCTTGAGAATCGTCTTGGTGCAGGGCACGGCAGCTTCGTTAGGTTCCTGTTTCGTATCCTGCGGAAGAACACGCCCGAATGTGTCGTTATTGTGATGACCAACTAGAGGACACGGTGGAGCATACGGTGGTAGTGTGCTCAGGGAAGTGATCGGCGCCCTTATCGAGGTCATGGTGCGGAGCGAGAGGAACTGGGAAGACGTCTCCTCTTTCTGCGAAGCAGTGATGCTCCCAAAGGAGGAGGCTGAGGTGTGGGAAGATAGTTCCCTCACGCCCCAGCCGCCGCCGTAGGCGACTCTCCGGGCGTCGGGGATCGAGAGATGATGTCCAGCCATCGTAAGCGCGGGTCTGCGGACGGCGGGTAGCTCGCCGCCCAACCAGAACCAGACCCGAGCGCACGGTGCGTTGCGTTTTACGCACGCCTCAAAGAGCCAATAGACCACCACAGACGGGGCCCTACAGAACCGATATTCAGCCAGGGTTGCGGGACAAGCGCAAAAAGTCACCGCGGCCTCGGCCTAAAGTAGCAGAAAGAACGGGGATTTTTTAGTCAATAAGAGTCTGACACTCTCTCCCTCCTTACCTGGGAGGATGATTTTCTCATCAAAAAAAGTTAATTTATTATTCGTTTGCGAATAACATTTTCAATAAATGATGTTTTCTTTCAGGGTTAATACCAAAAGGAATAATCACTTCAGATGTTGTGCTGGACTTCGTCTTAAAACATCAGAATCATATTTGAAGAAACAAATATTGCGAGCTTATTACCCCACTTCAATAGTTAACCATGCTATATTTACCTACTCATTATTTAAGATTATTTAATACCTACTTACTCATTATTATTATTATTTACTAATATTTTGTTTGTTTTTTTCGTTTTTATAACGGAACCACAGAGTTCCAGTCCTTAAAAATGCCAAAAATAAAGACTTAAGAAACTTTTCGCGAGTTAAATAGTACCTAGGCACTTAATACCGAAGATTAAAATTAAGTAACTCTGCACGTGTATGTATTTTCTCAGACCTTTGAAAATGTACGAGGGCCTTTAATACATACCTAATAATAAGAATAAAAATAAACCTCGACTTTAATTAGCTTAGGTCGTAAAATGCTTCAAGGGTTATGTCCTTTTAGAAAAAGAGAGGCTTTCTGTATTATTTCTGTTTAGGACTCTTTTTTAACTTAGACCCATTGAAACAAACAAACAAAATATCACAAATATGCCTATAGCCTTTATATTAGATTAAACATATTATACAGCACTCGAACATATATCTTAGAGTGCTTACTTAGTTAATTTTTCCACTTCTCACCATGTACTATTATATTATAACACATTATGATTAATTACCCAATTATTAATAAACAAATGTTAATTGCAAAAGTACCTTTTCTGTTTTAATTTAAATTCCTTATAAGTAACTACTAAGTATTTCATTACCTAATCATAATAAAATATGATATCTAATGATGTCCTTACCAATGACATGGTCCGTGTCATTTGGTCGGCGTACGAGGGGCTGAAGCCAACTGCGCAGAGACTCTTTAGACAATTATAATCTAAATAAAATGGGACACACACACAATTATGCGACAATCCCTGATGGAAATGCACTCAAGGCTAGGCCTCGGTTAGTGTAGGCCTACGTATCGTGGTGGTTAAGGCCCCCATTTCTCATACATGAGTGTGCGGTTTCGAAACCTAGTAAGTACTTAGCAATGTGACAGATGTAGGTACTTTCTATGATTACTAAGACACCACTCACATATGGTGAAGGAAACCATCGTGAGGAAACCTCGACTTGCCTTTGCTTATAATTTATAATAATAGTTTGAAGTTGCCAATCCCTTCAAACCTTCTCCGTGTCAGAAGAGGATTTTGCTTAGCAGTGGGCATTTAAGTACTGACTGCTGCTGATAATGATGATGATGATGATGATGATGGGTGGCTAAATACTAACTAATAAATATGATAACTGTGGAAATACTGTGGTCTCTGCCCTCTGCCATATGTGTCAATATTGGCCAGATATTGACACATATGGATAAACGGGCAGGTTTATTAATGAGCCCCCGAAAACGGCTGCTAGCATGTAGCGACATGGGGACATCATTCGTTGAGTTGCTTGGGGAAGGAGAGGCATTCCGTGGCTATCAAAGCAATACCAGCATCTAACTAATATGAATCCTTCCCCCGAGTCTTCTTCAACTCCTCCTACTCCAAGTAGAAGGGCTTGTTCCTCATCTGCTAATCACGAGGACTAACTGGACATGAATAACAAGACACCTCCCGGGAGTTAGGTCCATGGGGTCGCCACTGTCCAACAGCTCGCCACAAGCTGCCTTACGGATTTATTATTTATAGGCAGGGCAACTGACACGTTGATATGATAATGACTTACTGACGTAACCATATTCTTTTTACCCGAAGCAAAAGGAGGGTTATGATTTTGACAGGCCATGTATGTATGTTTTTTTTTATTTTTTTATTTATTTATTTATTTAAGTCAGGCATCTGCGGCCCATAGAGAATACAATACATAAATATATTATAACATTAAATCATAAACTAATACATATGTTACATAGATAACTTAAAAACTAATGCACACGTAGTGTCGGCGTCGTGTTACGCTGCGTGGTGTCGCGTAGCCATCCTCGGAACCTCCGATATACGACACCCTACGGCCAAAACTCTTCCTTGAGGAATGTCTCCAAGTGATGAGTTGGAACTCGCACCATGAACGAATTAAAGTTCGTATTGTGGCGCGACTCCAACTTCGCCACCTTCAAGGTCCAGTTGGTCTTGGATCGGACATACTCCACGATCTGCTCCACCGTCGTGGTGTGATGTAGACGGGACACGTACAACTGCGTCGTTGGTACTGCAGGACGCAGCAGGATGTTTGGTCCAGTTAGTGCAGTTCCGCACTTATTCCTACAAGTTGGCCTCTTTTTTCTCCTTTCTACCTTTTTGAAGCCATCCTTGTCGCACGTGTCCTTCTTAGGACTAGTCTGTGGCTGTGATGTGCCACGGGTTTGTTTACCCCCTTTTGCTTTGGCCCGCTTTGTTTGCGTCACAGCGGGCTTGTTGTGTATGTATAATCATCTGTTCCCTCGTAAGTCGTAACTTCTAAACTACTTATCTGAATTCGACTTATGATATATCAATTGAAAAGTCTTAATTATCCGCAGGTTATAAGCTATAAGGGGTATCACAAAATCTAATGTGGCGTCCTCTAGCGGACAAAACATTCAGAGTAAAAAAGTAAAGTTAAGATAAATATGCCGTGTTTGGTATCATTTGAAAGCGCTTTACTTGTACATTTTGTATATTGTATATTACTAGCATTTGATTGTGACTTTACCCGTATTCATGGGCTGATTGCATATAATTCACAACTTTTCGTTCATAGCTGCTATTACTTAATATTAGTTCATCAATTTAACTTTTGTTGATATTATGCGCCACAAAATCACTTTAACACCAATATAGTACAAATAAAAAGTATAAAAACTAAAACCCAACTACGACAAAAATCGACGCTGAAAAAGTACAAAACAAGATTTTCAGAATACTGAAAGGCGTAGTCATACGGTTTCAAAGTGCAGGTACGGTAGGTAAAGTAACGTGTGACTACGCCTTTTGTACTTTTTCAGCATCGGTTTTTGTCGTAGTTGGTTTTTATAAGTACTTTTTATTTACCTATACGTTTTTAAAAACAAATTTAGGTACCACTATTTTTAATTAACAAAATCCGGTTTACAGCCTATTACATAGGTATTTCCACAGAACAGATTTTCTATTCCCAGGGGATTTTTCATTCACTTTCATCTATTAAACTTGACAGTGACAGCTAAAAGTTAATTTCACAATTTCACATTCACATGCTTGACGTGTGATGTTGACACTGACAGTTTAGATAAATCCTGCTTGTCTCGAGATTTCGTGACATCATTAAAACTCATTAAAACTCATGCATTAAATGTAGCTGTACTACTGTTGCGTTAGTGTGTGCAAAGTGTGAGTGAGAAGTTCGTGTCGGTCGGATAACGTCCCCCAGTCGTCCACTCGACATACGAGATTTGAGAACCAAGAACGTGTGGCCGGCACGCATAACCGTGGAAAAAAAGGTTTGCTCATACGCAGCGTTAGATTCAATAAAGTGTTATAAGTTTGTAACTTTTATATTATTCAACTGTTAAAATCACAATAAAACTTTCAATTAATTTTTTACTTAAATTTATTTCTTATCAGTCTGTTTTGTGTAATCTAAGAGTTAATGAAAAATTTCTTGAAGTTTATGGGCTATGAATTTTAGATAACATATTTTTTTTCTAATAGGTAGTAGTTAATCAAAACATATATAAAATGTCTAACCATGTCGAGGAAAACAGCACAGAAAATGTGGTCAGGAAGTTTTTTAACCTCAAGGAAATGCCGCACATTGTGAAACCCCTGTAAGTATTTACTTTACTCTCAAAACAACTTTCAAACTAAAATAGTCACCCAAGTTATTTGATATACCAGTAAGAAAATAAATACTAAATCAACACAGAGATTGTTATACTAAATTGTATGTGTTTTAGTGAAACCACATCTTTTTTCAACTCTCATCATTCTTTTGTAACCAACCGGTGGTTGTGTGTCTACACTTCTACAGTCACCATCAACATTTATATAACTGTCCTATATTTACTTGTATTATATGTTTATGACCACTACAACATTCATCCTATTTGAACATGTTATATCTATTTTTAGTGACAGAAACCAGAAAATCCATCCTCATATATTAAACGCTATTGGTAATACTCCTTTAGTGAAACTCAGTAACATACCTAAAGAAGAAGGCATAAAATGTGACATGTGTAAGTACATTTGGATATTCAGAATAAGTTTTAAAATACTAGTATTGCCTGTATGGAATGTTGTTTTAATGTCTTTTATCTTTTTCCAATGCAAACATTTGTAATATACCTATGTATATAAATATAATAAAAAAATATAAATAATATCAAACCAATGTGATAAAACCCCCATTATCAAATAAATAGAATCTCTGAAGTGTTTTATAATAAGGTATAAATCGATATGAAAGTCCTAAAAAATCTCTCAGTAAAGCATTATTTAACTATTGGAAAAATTACTTTTACCATAATTTCATTGTTTTATATTTTTCTCTTTAGATGCAAAATGCGAGTTCTTAAACCCTGGTGGTTCAGTAAAGGATCGCATAGCTTACCGTATGGTCCTTGATGCTGAAGAGAGGGGCATACTGAAGCCTGGCAAGTCTGTTATTGTGGAGCCTACGTCTGGTAACACTGGTATTGGGCTAGCCCTGGCCTCAGCTGTCAGAGGTAAAGGCAACTTGTAGTATTAATCAATTCTTATGTAGGTCCCTATTGTAAACTCAAATATTACACAACTATTGTAATTTTTATTATGTATAGGCATGTTTCATGAAAATAAAATATAGGTAATAAAGGTTATTTTTTTACAAAAATGCTAATGAAATGTTTACTTCCAGGTTACAGATGTATTATAGTATTACCAGAAAAAATGTCTGATGAGAAGGTGAACACTTTAATAGCACTAGGAGCTGAGATTATCAGAACACCCACAGAAGCAGCTTGGAATGATCCCACCAGCAACTTGATGGTAGCTCGCAGGCTGTCCAAAGAGATCCCTAATGCGGTCATGCTGGACCAGGTGAGTGGCATATAAAAAAACTATATTCTGATTGTCTATAAATGTTCATTCTTACAAACTTTCGCGTTTATAATATTAGGAGAATATTTTTTGATAAAAAGATGATTCTCTTTTTCGATTCTAGAATAAATACGATAAAAAAACCTTGCCCCACACTAGTATTTTCTCCTGTGTCGTGGGTGTGTTTACAAACATGCAATTTCTCATACACACCACACCCTAACCTGGAACATGGAAATTGTTCTGATTTGCCTTCTATCTTTAAGGTAGTAAAACAAATGTCTGCTCTATATTTTTTTTCCCATAGAGGTAATTTGCATTTTTAGGTAATTAATTATGTTTTCCGGTATTTTCCTGTTCAAGTGAATATCAATAATAAATAAATATTTATTCATCATAAATGTCGCTAAAGCAAAATAAACAATGAATATAGATTACTAATAAATAGCTACTTAGTAGCATATTCATTTAGCATTTGACTGCCGACAAAAACTGTTGACGGCTAACCCTCCGCTAGCGTCGGACAGCATTGTCCAACATGGCGTTCTTAGTGTTAATGGGTCCAATGTACCTATAGAGAAACTACTTTCTCCATAAATGCAAGGATGTTTCGGGTGCGCCGATTGACTTAACTTCAGCTGGCTATATGGGGACCTTACCTGAAATCCCTGCAGATAGGCATAGAACCTTATGATATGTCAATCATCAATAGACACTTACAGGTAATTCTATTGTTTCAGTACAATAACCCTTGCAACCCGCTTGCTCACTACGACGGCACGGCTGAAGAAATCCTGTGGTCTTTAGATGATGACGTGGATATGGTGGTAATGGGTGCAGGTACTAGTGGTACTGTCTCAGGAGTCGGTCATAAGATCAAGGAACGCTGTCCCAAGTGCATTGTGGTCGGCGTCGACCCCTACGGATCTATACTTGCTCAACCCGAAGAGTTGAATAAGACAGACGTGCAGATTTATGAGGTAACTATTTCCCTAATCTACTATGCTTACTTACTAAATATATCACTCGGTTTTAGCTGTCAATTCTATTGTCACATAAACGTGCAACGAGTTCCAAAAAAAAACTTTTAATCTCTTACAATTTTATCATATAAACCGATAGGTAACCTACATATTTTCTGAATGTAGAATAGCTAAAATAGAATTACTAAATATAGACTCTATCGTACATGCTTAAGATTTAATCTTGAGCGTAATCTTAATACCAATAAAATCGTTTTTGAATAAAATATTTTCATTCATAATACTTCGACTTTATACATCTACTGACTTTGAAACAAAACCGAATCTTGTCAAATTCATTTCGAACTTATGATACAGTGTAGCAGGTACTTCTGTTTATTATCTTTTCATACTAACAATCAAATGCGTTCACGTAAGAAATGTAGGGACATTGGGGTATGGGGAAGGGGATTGAAAGAATCTTACGACATCTCACCAGGGTGGAAGGGAGAGATAGAAAATGAACAATGAGACATTCCAGGTTGGTGAACATTGCAACAAGCAGGAAACTGTCAACGATATTATGTTAAGGCGCATGAATGAACATTAGATATGCGCATTAATGATGTATCGTTATCGAACACTGATAGGCACTCGTCCAAAATTTTACCTAGTAGCAGTAAAGAACCTACCTACCTTATATCACGTGCCTACACCACCATTGAAATCAACGTATTGTCTACGTTACCTATACTAAAATGATTTCGGGTTCATAAACTTCTTCTAAATAAAAATACTAACGAGTAACTACCTACTTATGTATAGGCAGTGTATTTTTCACTTACCACCGTTTAGACGTCACAATTCATCATGCCCTAACTTCCGAAGGATTGGATAGTTAGTGACTGTAAGTGTCCCTAAATCGGGCGATCGAGAGAGCCTGACCACCCTAAGTTCCTAAGTCCCGATTAATTGTGCCGTCTGATCACCGCTTTCCTAAAAGTAACAAAGCAAATAAGTACTACATTTTGGTTCATTTGAATCTCTTATGTTAGGTTCATTCTTTTGTTATGAAGATATTTAATGCTAATAGGGGTTATCGTGTCATTGTCACCATCATCCAGTACCATGCTCGTGTTTATAATCTCAGGAATAATCAATTCAACACAGCTAAAGCAGAAATAGCATGCCATGACCTGTTTGACGACGTTCCATAGAGATTGATCAAAATACTGCGATAAGCCCCATTTGTTTTGGTTACACTCTACGTTCCAACAAATACATGTATGAAAATATTTTTCATTCCCCAAGCTGAATACTTTCTTACATCATCCTTCCTTTGTACATAAGCTCAGCATTCGTTATAAACACAGAGTTATCAATATTTTATGATAATTAAAGATTTACATGTTTATAAACTTAGTTCTTACATAAGCGGGTTCATTGGCGAATTTAATACTTATAATAATATTATATACGTTGACATTAATAAGATATTAATTTTTTAGATTGTATGACGCAAAAAGGATTTTTTTGCCAGTAGGTACACACTCATCAATAGGTATTCTTAGATATTTATTTTATATCTCTTATTTATATTTTTTTAGGTTGAAGGCATCGGATACGATTTTCTTCCGGCCTCACTCGACAGAGGTGTCATTGACAAATGGATCAAATCCGAAGACCACGCCTCGTTGGCAATGGCCCGAAGACTTATCAAAGATGAAGGATTACTCTGTGGTAAGTTCACCTACCATCGAAATTAAAGTATTTAATGGCAATACTAAATAATTCTTAGCAGTAAATACCACACAACCCTTCTATAATACTCTAGAGGAAAATAAATGTGGGAACCTCTTATACCTACCAATGTGCTCGGCCATCTTAAGTAAAAAAGGCTTTGAACCAACATATTAGGCATGTAGCCTAACATGGAACATAATTATATACTATACATAGAAGAAGATATTACAGTAGGTTACCTATCATATGTAAAAAAGACTTTAGACACACATCAACTTGGATACCTCGTATTTTTAAACACTAAAGCCTCATAAAATTCAGGTGGTAGCAGTGGTTCTGCGATGTGGGGCGCTGTCCAGGCAGCTAAGTCGTTGAAAGAAGGTCAGAAATGTGTGGTACTGTTACCCGACAACATTCGCAACTACATGACCAAGTTCATATCCGACCAATGGATGGAGGCCAGGAACTTCCAGCCTTTAGTCATGAAAGAACATCTTCCGTAAGTATTATTTAACTATCTGTGTATCTTTATGTACCTCAATTATTGAATTTTAAGCTCTTTACTTTCCAAATAATACTAGGGAGCCAAATATTTTCTAAATATTATTGAGTGATTTATGAGTATTTTCAAGTAGGTAGCACCAACAAGGTAGGTGGCAATAGAATTCTTATCAAAATTATCTTGAAAATCCTTGGACTGATGACAAAATTATGTATTTTTTAAGATAACATATACCATACCTAAACTGATAAAATTACCTTAACATCAAGATCTAATACATTTCATTATTGGTAGAAATATTAAGAAGCAATAACTCTAAAACGCTTTTCGAGCTTTTTATACTAAAGTAAGAAAAAAATAAGCTGGTAAGACCAAGTGACAACAAATACCTTATCAAAGGCCACCAATAAAATACTAATGTTGACCTTCCTCATAGATAAGCAATAATCAATTTCATGAAAATTACGCCATTATTAAACGTAATCTCTGTCTGATGTCAACATGTAATTGCAAAATTATGGTCAGAGTGTCAAGATGTCATCGTATTAATAAGAGCACTTTAGCACATGTTCGCGATAACACGGATAACTACTTTAATAACAATAAGTTACAAAAAAATAATGTGTGTTCCATAGGTATGCACGTTTATATAAATAGTAGCCTAGTCAGATTAAACAAACACTGGAGTCTCCTATACGATTTTGGATCAGCCTTAGATCTGTAACAAAAAAATCAGTAATACTCTTCTATGCCATTATATTATCTCCATGCTTGGCAGACGAATTGAAGGTTACGGTCTCAGGAAGGTCTCTCTCGAGGTTCAGGTTTGTCTGGTTCTGCTCTATCAAATACCATTTATCAGTCTTAACGACTGGAGGGGTAATGAATAATAAATAAGTATATAATGGGGCTTAAAAACATTAAAAATATAATGCGTCTTATGCAAATGTATAAGTTCATATTACATGTTTCGAGTAGGTACACGTTCATTGACATCACGTCAATGTCTTGCCGTATTAACAACTTGTGTTGTGATTGGCATGATCCGTGCATCTATATCAATTCAACAATAAAATAACATTTAATGTTTTTCTATAAGTGACTCTGCTACTTCGACGCGCGACTCTACGCTATCTTATTGCGAATAAGTGCAAAATGCAAACATATTATGTACTTATTTACATTGCTGTAATAAAATGACTGCTTTGTTGGGTGTCGTTGATCGAGTGGTCGCCATTGCGATTCTGCGATATAATTTAACTGGCATTGTATAGTTTTATTAGTTTTTCAGCTTTCGAAAAGCCCTAAAATAGTAGCGGCTTCAACCTCAAATTTAAATTATTGTGTATTAAATATTTAGTAAAAATTCTGGAACCAATTATAAGATATCGATATCTTATGAATTTGACTAAGCGTCTAATTTACCACCTTCATAAGTATGTATAAGTTCTCGACAAACCTATGGGTCACATACCCATAGTTCATACAAATCTTATATAATATATTTGCTTAGTACGTAAGTATGTATTATACTAATCCAAAAGCATATCAGAATTATAACTGGAGTTTTTCTTATTATAGATGGTGGGGCAAAACAGTGACGGAAGATATGGTACAGAGCATCGAGAGTGTATCACATAACAGTTCGCCTTCGGAAGCATTCGCCACTCTCAAGAAAAGCGGCGCACCAGTGTTGACCGTTGTTAATGAAAAAGGGTAAGAATTTAGTCCACCTACGTGATGAAACGTCCATGAAAGTCCGAAGGCATGAAGCTAACAACGACTTATTCAGATAATTATTGTAAAATAGTTCTAAATCATTTCATTAATAGTGTGGCAGAATATATTGGGTGTCTTATTAGATATTCTCTGTAGTATTGCAACCTTTTTCGTTCTTAACAGATATTCTACAAAGAAAAACAATAAACATTTGACAGTGCCTATCAAATAGCAAATACCAAGCTTTAACACTAAGTTTTGATATCTTAGAATCATCAAAAATAATAAACATGTTAAAATTTTCCAGTTGCCATTTGTTATTAAATGAATTTGACTAATGTTATTTCTTTGCCTGTGTGTGGCATTTTATACCCTAATAGTGATATATTTCATTGACCAACTGATAAGCGAGGACCCAATTTACACAGAAAAATAAAGAATACCAGTCCAATTAGTACAAGAACCATAAAATATGCCTTTTTGTTGTAACATTTTATCATATGACTTCTGCAAGTGACTTATGTTTAAATTCAATTAATAAGTGCCTTGTACAATATCATGTCTAAAATCAACAAAGTTTGATATAAAGGATTTATAAAGGTAAATTGTGGTAGTTTTAAATTACCTAAGCGACAACTTCAAGTCTGTGTGAGCAAAAAGTGACAATCTAACATTTATCCAGATGGAATTATTCATTGTATTTATATTTCTAGATCTGTGATTGGCTTGTTCACGGCGGACAATGCACGAAAGAGGCTGGTTAACCTGTCGGGCTCCTTCGCAGAAAGTCTCGAAAAATTTACAGTGAAAAAGTTCTACAAAGTGGATCTCACTCACAAGCCCACTCTAGGATTGGTGTCGCGGATGCTCGACATTGCTCCTCACGTAGTTGTTGTTAAAACAGGTAAACACCTTATTCAGTTTCCTATTTATCACGTAGATAATTTTATCGCAATCCTAAAACGTGACTAGGAAAACAGTTGAACGACGAGGCGCAATCTCAGTACCCTAATGATGAAATTACAAAATTTTATGATACAGATATGCAGATAGCAATCTGTTTTTATTAAAACTATCGTGAAACATACTAAATTAACTAAAAATCGCGGGTTACTCACGTGTATACTATTGAGAAAAGCTCTACTAGTTTCGAACCACAGAGGGGTTCTTCCTCATGAGGAGCGTGCGCGGACGCGGCGATGTAGCGCAGCCTACTGGTTAATATAACTTTTTAGTTAGTTTATATAGCATCTCATCTCATCATCATGTGCATAATTTTGTGTATTATATTTTAAATAATATTTCAGATGCATCTACACATATCGAGACCCCAGTTGGACTGTTCACCTCAGAGAACCTGCTGACGAGTATCTCTACAGAATCCAAAATTGTAAATGGAAGCTAAAGCTTGTGTCAAGTTTTATTGTTACAAGTTTTTATTGGCTAAGATTTACTTACAAAAAACCAGTGAAAATGTGTAAAATATTGTAAATACTTATGGGATGGAGCTTGGACAATCAGGTTTATCAACATTTCAATCAGCATCTACATGATTCTCTTCAGAAATCTGCACTGCGACTCTGTTGACACATTACCCCCAATACAAAAATATACTTAAAAGACATTTTTTATGACGTATGTGCTAATTATAGACAGTATTAAATAATATTCAAGTAGAACAAACTGAAAGTTATCAAAACATTAAAATTCTAATGTGAATTCTTTCTGCAAAGGTGCTGGCACAGACCCTAATACAATCAATATTGTAAGAGTAATGCATTTGATAAATTATTGAGACAAATGTAAGGTGAAAGAAACATTATTATAAGAAGTAATATTTTCTTATTCTGGTAATAAATATGTTTATTAATGCATTTTTTGTTTTATTTGTATAAAAAAAACAATGAGCTAGGTACATTCTGATTCAGACATAACCAATGACAATAAGAGAAATGAATAAAGCATTTTAAGTTTCACTCTTATATTGATACTGTTTATGGAGATGGAGTTGACTGTTTTGCATTGGCTGCAAGAATAGCTCCAGGCGCAGGATAAGGTCTCATTTGGTACAATGATCCAGTTGCAGTTGAATCTACTCCAGTCTTGGCATGGGTGTCAAGTCCAGAAGTCCAGCTACCCCTAGCTATATCAGAATAAGCAGCAGGGTCCATTGGATCCAAGTCATTATCCTTAACCCTTTGTCTTTTATTTCTGTGATGCACTAAATCCTTGTCCTTCTCCCTCCGTTCATGTTTCTTTTCTTTGTGCACTTGTTGTGGGACTTCCTGATCAGAAGCTTCACTGCTATCGTCACTTTCATCACCTTCCTTCAACAGTCGCTCTTCTCTTAAGTGTGCAGCACTCTCGGTAGGGACAGCACGTGGATGAGCAGGAGGTAACCAGCAAACTAAATTATTGTGAACATTCCAAAAGTAATGCTGCCCAAAACCTTCATCATAGACTTCTTCCCAGCCGGGTGGCAAAGGCCATATTTCTAAAGCTTTCTTCTTGTATTCCAAATAATTCTCGCGGGGAACAGTTTTTCCTGCTTTCCATCTTTTTACGCAGTACTTGGAACATTCGTGGTAGATATTACTTTTATTCGGGCAACCCTTATGACCCTTTATAGGATCAACGTTAACACCTTCAATGCCTTCCCAGAAGTGTTCCTTAGCCCGATCGTCAAGTTTACTATCATAATCTTCTGCTATGATCTCTTCGTTGGTTTGAGTCTGAGGAACTTCAGCGTTCTGTACTGGTTCGGGAGTAGCTTTTATTATACCTCGCTTAGCCAGCCGCGCAGCTAAGGCTGGTGGGAGAGGCATTGCTCATGAAATAAATGAAGAAACACGACAAAGAAATCGTTATCACCACTGACAAACCACAAAAACAAAATGAAATTTACCGGTGATCACTAGAAAAACTGTTCATAAGATTTCAGACGTAGTCACCACATTATTACTGTTTATATTTTTTTTCATGTGACATTACAATAAAATGAATGACAACTGAGAAGTTTACTAGCATAGACAATATCAAACTTTTCTGTGGTGTTAGCATCAAAGACCTTGTACTTAAAACTAGACTGTGCACCAAATTTTTTTTGTTTAGCTAAAATGTGCTTTATCCCGTTATGTATAGGGTAGCTATTTTCTTAAAAGCGTTAACAAACTAAAACCGGTCCAGGCGAGAGGGCTCCTCACGGTAGTGTGTCCTTGTCTCACATCTTGCCAGCTCAACTAACCTTAGGGGTTGGTAGAAATGGTAGAAAATTAAATATAATTATGTTTTATGTTTTAACAAAACAAACAATTCATAAACTACAAAACGTATATAAATGTCTTTATAGTCCTTAAAATTAATAGTCAATTTGCGGTATTATACGAAAAATCATTAATACAGAGTAAACAGTAGTACTTGAATGTTTGTGTTTGGTAACAATTAATGCAAGATGGCGGTTTGCTGATTTCGGGTTAGGGTAACAATGAATTTTCTCGATCAAAGATTTTCTTACTATATCGCAGTAGAGAGGCAGAAGATACGACTAACTGTTTTTGTCCTTTGTGTCCTTTTCATTTTTTATTTTATTATTTTAAAGAACTTGTTAATACCAATGATATTATAAGTAAACAGGTGTAAATAGGTTATAAGCGTCCAGTAAGTGTTACATTAAAATGTGGTGCAATGTAGAAGCAAATACGAGACGTGTAAGCTGGACGATCGTCTTTAATTAAGTGTATATACCTAATAACTTACACTACTTATGGGGAGAGATCTCACACACTACACCTTCCCCGTTTTTTAGAAAGTAAAAAATATAGCCTAAAATACGTTATTTCTTATAATAAAAACTTAATAAACATTTACTTTAAATATTCGCACTGTTGACAATTACTTATATAATAGAATTTTTGAACGTTTTATAGAATTAGATAAAGTAATGTAAAAAATAATGCTTACCAAGCTTGTCAGAAAACAAAATTGTAATTATATTAATCTGAGGCTTCAACATGTGTTCAATGTAGTAAAGTATATAGAAAAACTTTTTTTGGTAATCTCTCCTGATTTACAGAGCGTGAATATAAATAAATGCTTAATATGATAGTACATCAATTCACCCCTAAAATTAAGCACCTTTTGCCTGCCCATCCAGCATCTGACGAATCCCACGAATTGGAACTGATTTAATGTATTGATAAAAAAAACTTAAATTTAAGACATAAAAGCTACGAGAAGACTTTAAGCCTCAAGCATGTAGGAAATAGGGCTACACTATGACAAAAATTGCGTAAAACTGTATTGTTCAGCAATGTATAAAAATAAATCAATATTAAAAGAAAACAGTCTTTTTCATTCCACAATACTGCATCACATTCATTTGCCCTAACACTCATTTAATAATAATCCTCCTCATCATCTTAGCAAATGTTATCCAGGTTACATATGCTAAGCTTTCACCTAGGAGCTTGCCAAGGTTCGCCGAATACGATCTTGGAGTGGCGAGTCTGATAATTACAGTAAAGCGATTGCCATCTGACTTTCGTAGCCACAAGGGGAATCAGGCAAATTTTTCGGATAATGGTTAAACATTCAGCCAACCTCACGGTGTATTCCCTCGCCGAAATCATCATTTTCCTGTAGGTAATATTAATATGATGGTGGGAATATATCACTTTTAAAAGTAGAAAAAAGTACTTTCAACCCTTACCCACGTGTACAGAATATTATATAAATACTTACTTACTTACTTACTTTACTTACAGGTTCTGTAGATTTAAAAAAGTAATTTTTAACAAAAAAAAACCGACTTCCAAAATTTATTTTTTGCTTTTTAGTTTAGTTATTTTGGAAGTCGGTTTTTTTGTTAAAAAATATTTTATTTTACCATTTTAAGTGATAGGCAGAAAAAGCTAGCATGCTTCTCGAAAGAGAAGACGACGGCTATTTGAGACCGAAAATCACGGTAATAATAGTCCTGAGTTAGTCAGCTTTGAATGCTGTAAATCGTTGAGGAATTCCCTCAAATGTCAATGACTTCCATCATCAGGTATACTGCAGACCTTCATTATACACAATCCATATAGGTGCAAAGTTCTCATCAATATAAATGAATTAAGTCCAAACAGGAGGTAGTTACTGAAAACCGTTCTGGAGTTCCCTGAGTTGTCTTTCATTCTCATCATCAGACCCTTAATGACAGTCACGACCAATCTTGGTGAAAAGTGCTCATCAATACGAATCATTCAAGCCCAAACACAAGGCAACTACTCCAAATAGTCAAGGAGATCCCACGACGGTCTTCCACCTTCATCATAACGATTAACTGTATAACTTTATTGTAATTCATAAAGGTGCAAAGCTTCCATCGATATAAATAAATTAGGTCCAAACACGATGTAGTTACTGTAAAACGGTCAGGAGTTTCCTGAGCTGTCTTTCGTTTTCATCATCAGACCCTTACTGACAGTCACTACCAATCTTTGTGCAAAGTGCTCATCAATACGAATCATTCAAGCCCAAACACAAGGCAACTACTTCAAATAGTCAAGGAGATCCCTCGATTGTCTTCCGGCTCCATCATCAGGTCGAGATCGAACATCGGCAAGTTGTAGCGTTGTCAAAAGCCTACTAAAACCACATGCAAAAGCACCACTCGTACCTTCAATTTTTGAAAGTTCTCAATTTCTCTGGTCTTCCATCATCAGATCCTGATTTCCTTATCATGGGACCATTCTAAAACTATCTCCTTGCCAACAAAAAAAGAATTATCAAAATCGGTTCATTAATAACGGAGATATCGGCGAACAAACATAAAAAAGCATATATATATGGTCGAATTGAGAACCATCCTCCTTTTTGGAAGTCGAGTAAAAATATACACACGTTTTGGATTGTTGGTTTTTTCTTACAAAAAATTAGGTTGGTGAAGTTACGCTAGTTTGGTAGTATCAATATATCATGATCCTTAAATAATCGTGTTTACAAGCAATTTGTCCCGTATTCTGTTTGGTCATGGTCACTACGTTAGAAAGGGACACACTACCATTGGGAGCTGTCTCGCACCGGCTCGGTTTTTGCGCCTTAGTGCACAGTCTAGTTTAGAGTATAAGGTCTTTGGTTAGCATAGATAAAGTATATCTATGGGTGTAAGTATGTATGTAGCGACATCTACCGCACAACACGCAGCAACAGCACGAATTAATTGGCGATGCAAAGATTATGCCTCTAGCGGCGAAATTTAGAAACTGTCTAAGAATGACACTGTTTATTTGTTGAAGTTATGTTAGATTATTCAAATGGATCACGATTCGGCCGTAATAGGCCTGCCGGGCCTATATCAGTGGCCCGTGTGCAATTAGAGATACCTAATTGTTAATTGCTAACTACGTAAGTTTTTAAATATCGCGCCAAATAGTGCTTGTCAAATTTTTGTCATACGGTTTATATCTCACCTTGTGTTTAAATGTTATAATAACTACCCTGACCTTTCCCACTAATATAGAAAAGCTAATTTTGAAAAATGATTTTCTTGTACCCCTACATTATTATTTGATCATGTAAGAACGCCTAATAGTAAGTTATTATCACCACCTATGGACACCTGCAAGACCTTAGCCCCACAGGCGCGCTGGTCTTTCGAGGGGAAGGGGAGAAGAAGAAAAGGGAGGAGGGGTGTTGGCATCACTCCAGTAGAGCGGGCCCATTCATGCCGAAACGTGGCTCTCCTACGATAATTTTTGCTTGCGGCCTGCGACACCATGACTAAAACGTGTTTGTGGCCCGTATATGTACCTATAAAAAAGGTTGAGTACCAATGCTATGGACCATAGATTCCCAAAGTGGTCCAGGTGGATCCCCAGGGGTCCACGGGAGCCCTATAGGGGTCTAAGAATGGGGGTCCACAACTCGTTAACGGGGGTCTATAAAAATTTATTAGGTGACCCGACTTGATTTCTCCTATGAATATAGGGAGACAATAATATAGGTAGGCAAACAATATTACCTATAACAAGCTTAACCTCAGCAATTGTTTTTGTAAGAACTTGCATATTCCATATTCCGTCCGCGCCGCCCGCCCGCATAGCCGCCCGACCAGAACCAGACCCGAGCGTAAGGCGCGTAGCGTTCCGCGCGCGCCTCAAAGAGCCAATAGACCACAACAGACGGGGCCCTATAGGTCTGATGTTCAGCCGAGGTTTCCGGGTATGCGCAATGAGGCACCGCGACCTCGGCCCAGAGCAGTAGTAGGAACGGAGTGTTTTTAGTCAGTAACAATCTGACACTCCCTGCCGCCCGACCCTAAGCGAGACATTAGATGATTTTGCCCTCACAAAAAAAATTTAGGTAGCGGGGCCCGCCTAATCATTTTTGCAACGAGTGCTTCGGCGATACCTGCCCCACACACGGGTAAATGAGGGACATCGGGTTGGTTTTTAGTCAGTAAAAGTCTGACAGTACCCTTCGCCCACCCCCGAGGACCGTGGATCTCCATGAGGGTTTTTCAAACCGAAACAAAAGAAAGAAAGATACCATACCATGGGGCACTGACTCCCCGTGCGAAAATTCGAGCGAGCATTCTCGAATTGGTCGCCCCATCGCACCTTTTCCTAAGGCCGGCACAGATATGTACTTATCAAGCTATTTTGTGACCACAATGGTAGATTATGCAATCATTAAAAAGCTCATAAATAAAACCCCATTGAAAGTTAACTTCTCTTCTATTAGTTTAATTTGCAAACAATTTTATTTATATAAATAAGTACACTTAAGAACTAATGTTATGAATGATTCCAAAGTAAGAAATACACCAGGACATTCTTGAATTCTGAAAAGAAAAACAATTATTATGATTAGGTACAATAAGAAAGTTGCAAACCGTTTTTAAATAACATAAGACAGGTACCTAGGTAGGGGTTTTACCCATACCTCCATCATGCATCAAGCATGGTGAGAAACCTAATATTTCATTTACTTTTAGCGATTTTCTGTTCGCAGTGGTTCACATTCATAAAAAAATTGTAAATCTCGATTCTTATAATTGTAAAATATTAACATTACCTATGCTTCTATTTTGTTCTGTTCTAGACCGGCTAGTATATTAACATTAAAGACACAGGTACCCTTTGAATAACAAAAAGGGCTTAAAAATAAAATAGGTAGGTAATAGATAAAAAACAGGGCTGCCGATGCCCGCCCGCTGCATGCCTCTCCTCGCCAGTCAGTCCCGCCAGATCTCCAAAATCTAATTTGAAATCCAAGTTACATTCTAAACAGTCGTGCGGAGAAAAGTAAACTTTCATCTAGGTACTTTTATCATTTTTGCCTAGTTTTTCCAAATTAATGCTACATTCCATTACAAATGTTACGTTTAGAACTTATAAAACACTGACAAAACTATAAATACAACAAACAAAAACTACCTACTACCATATGTGTTATTATAACTTCTAACTATTTAGTATTAAAGACAACTCGTGCCCAAAAACTTTTTCACAAAGTGAGGTATAATGATAGGTAAGTTTTAATCAAGCCTTAAAATAAGTAACTGCGTCAGATTATGAACATGCAGATCCAACGACGAAAGTGTATTTTCAGTTGCTATCTATATATCAGCTCTTCAGAAATCAGCAATCTATCTTTTTTAAGACCCAGAAAATTGTTTCAGATTACGGAGATAAAACGTGCTACTATTATTGTGGTAGTTCACACTAGTGCCCTGGGAATCTTGCTCTACCATTTGACTACCCTACCTTCTTACAACATGTCTACTTACTTATTTAATCGATATTTTTGAATCTAAAAACCAAGATTATTTACTAGTAGTGCCTATATACTTAGGTAATGCCTAACTACATACTGGCTACAGATCGCTATCTACGTAACAAGGCAAGCGGCATCGATTTACTCAATAGCAGTTCATGCGATGGCCTTGACATAACGGAAACAATTATCACCTGATAATAGATGTCTTCACTCACCACTGGCGACAGATGTGTCACTGCGAGACACCTTAGTAGGAAGCACAGCGTCGTGAAATTCTCCTGAATGCATAAGTTTATGTTCTGAAGGATTGTTTTCTTCACCAGATTCAAATGGAGTCACAACATCCAATTCATCTGAATTAACGGTATCCAAAGATTTATTTTGCTGTACACAAGTTTCCACATCATCAGTGGCGATATTTTCTGTAGCCTCGTGTTTAGCTTTGTCATTTTGATTATTATTACAATGAGCCATATCATCGTTCAAATTATCCTTGCCAGAGTTTTCGGCAGGGTGGTCTACTACAGCTTCAGAATCAATAATCTCTTTCACGGAATCCACGTCCTCGCTTAATTTTCCACTATTGTTACTTGGTGGAGAAATTGATTGTATAGCATCTTCTCTCTTTAACTGCTTTCGTCGTTCACTCTTGTCATATCCCAAAGGATGTAAATTAATGGACGATGGCGGACTACTGTCTAAAGACAAATCCATAGAAGTGATTAAACTTTCATCTCGACTCAAATAATTCCCGCCTTCGGGAACAATGTGGATATTTAACACGGTTTTATTTTTATTTTGTTCGTTATCCATTTCTAAAGACGTAAGCGAAGGTTCGTTCGAATAGCTAGTGTGTTGTGAATTAGTAGAAATTGTCTTATTTGAATTGAGTTTATTTCTAACCAAAAAACCCCTAACGTGAGCCTGGATTATAGTTGCGGCACTGGATAATGTGGAAGAATCATCAGATAAAGAAAGCGATTTTTCTTCGTTAACTGTCTGGAGAACTGTGTCCATTCTTGTGATACCATGTGGTCTTCTTTCGTTTAGAGGACCTGGAATGGTAAAATCACATTCCTCCTGGAACATAACATTTATATAATAACAAAATAATAAACCAAGTTAAGAATAGTAGTTTTACATAGTAACACAAATATAAAGTCTAAAGGATCATGTACCTTATTTTTATCATCGTCATCCGAGAACATTTTTTCATCGTTCACGGTATCATCCAATGTAGACGTTCTACTCTTAAAAAGGAACGATCGAAAAACTTTTTGTATAGTTACTGCGGCAGTTTCCAAATCCATATTATCTTGACTTTGGCTAGAAGGACTCGATTCACTTAATTTTGATGATCCCGGATCACTGTTCTGGATGTCGTTATTTTCTAAATGGGCTTCATTCTTGTCATCAACCTCAACAGCATTATTCATTAAACTTTTGCATTCATTCTCTTGAATCTTCACACTCTCTCTCCGATTCTCTTTCGATTCTTGTTCTGATTCAACTTTATTGGAGTGGGTTGTATTAGCGTGAATTTTCGAATTCGAATCAGTGGCACTAATTTCATTGAAACCAATTATGTCCTCTAAATCACCATTTGTGGATTCTTGTAATACAAGTGTCATGATTTCATTCTCATTATTTGAGTCCAACAGAGATTCCATTACATCTGAACTAACTCGCGAACCCTGCAGTTCAACAGTGGGAGATTCTTTAAAAGAAATTTCGAATTGGTTGGTTTCCTGAGAATCTGAATCAGCTTGTTTTTTAATATCATCATTTTCCAACTTCTTTATGCCATTTTCTGGTGCATTGAACTGTGACGCATCAGCAAGAACGACTTTGTCATCTTTGATGCTTTCTGTTTCATTTGAGTGTTGAGTTTTTGGATTAATAATTTCTTGGGGAAGATTTTCGACAGTGTAATTTTCAATTCTAACTGGTTCCACAAGTAAATTTGACTCAATTACATCATTTTCTTCTATTTTAATATCGATTTCCGTTTTTATAGTAGACTTTTCATCATCACTTTTTTCATTTTCCACAATCCCATCATTAGTGGGAATAGACTCGACCGTTATTTGTAATTTTTTATCTAATGTTGTAGATTCTTCATTATCTCTAATTTGCTGTGGATCATCAGACTTTAAATGTTCGTTGACAATAGGTTCACTCAAATTATTTAAATTCTCTGATGCGGCAACGGCAATAACGTTTGCCTCAGGAATTTTGATAGGATTTTCACTTACGTTATCACTGATCGGAATTAAAGATTCTGTGACGGAATTACCACTTTTTGTCTCGTTGTCATTAGATGCAGACTCTGTATTAACATCAATTTTTAAATCACCATTACTATCATTAGCGTTTATTACAGAATCATGATCATGTTCAGAATCTTCATGATCTTCGGATGGTGTATCAGTTTTATCGGACATTTCAACTGTAGATACGGATGGAGCTGTAGCTGTCGACAGAGCTACAGCTGATGATAGAGCTACAGCTGCTGATAGACCTGAAGATAGAGCTACTACTGACGATACAGCTGCTAATGATGGCAGGGCTGCTGCTGACGAATTATTTATCTCCTGTTCATTTTGAATTAATGGTGTAATATCAACAGCCGCTGGTTCTTGAGTGGGAATTAATATATCGCTTTTGTTTGCATCCTTTATTTCAGATTGTTGTTGACGCTGTTGCTTGAGCATCTCGTTATCATATTGTTCCCATCGTTGCTCAGCTCGCTGCCTTACCTTTTCTTGAGCTTTAGCAATTTTCTCTTCTAACGTTAGTTTTTTCTTTACAACTGAAACAGTAAACATAGTTCATAGTTAGGTACTTATTTGATTATTAATGAAGTGAAATCGAAAGTTGCTCAATGTTATAAACACGTCGCAACTTTTAATCGCCGAAAGGATACCTAAACGCAAGTTAACTTTTCATCAATCTGATAGTATATAATGATACGAGTCGAAAATTGTGGCCTATACTATCTACCTTCTGAGTGTGTTCGTAGCTTAGTTTAGGTATACCTACCGTATAGCTGCTGTAAAAAGATTATTTGACCTGTATAAGTAGCAGCCTAGATACTTAACTACTTACGTAATTAGGTACTGCAATTCTTGGATAAATAATTTGATAAGAATCAATTAAAAAATACTTACGAGGGCCATCTCTTATTTCGAGTAGTTGTTTGAAATGATTAGCGCAGTATCCATAAATATCAGTTGGATTATTTTTCAGTACATCCCTTGATAACTCTTGTACTAAATTAACCAATCCTGGAGGCATTTTGGGTGGCGTCGGCCGATAGTATGTCCGAGTGCCAGAAACACGCATAATTATCTATATTTTTTTTTTTACTTTAATATGAAATTAACACTATGTGCGGTATAAATAACGTGTTTTAGCTGTGTTTTTGATATTTTTTTACTGCGAGTAACTTGAACCGCCCAAGGCAGTGTCGACTGAGGTATTGAATAACTAAACTGTTCAATACCACTGTTCTTTTATCATAGTTTCCCCACACTCCGCAGTGTTTGGCCTACGGTAGCCATAGTGACGTTACTTGAACTTGAATGTTAACGTGATGTATCGATCCCACAGTTCAACGTACTACCTTGTATTTACTTTTAATTATTATCAAGTTACGACCTTTACCCCATCATTACCTACTACAGCTGTACGTCGCGTGCGTGCTACTTCTACATGTGGGAGACATTCAAACTCAAGACCTTCTGCCAGACCAATTCACAAGTAATATATGAAGATTGGAACGATGTAAATAAAGTACAACCTGAGCTGATTAGATGAGTATGCAGCTGCGAACTTTAGATACATGTAGATTTCTAATTGAAATAGTTTAGTAACATTATACATCAAAGTTCATCTCATAACTCACATAACTTCTAAAAAGAAAAGTTGGACCGTACCTATAGTACAAGAGGGAAACCACTCGATTGGTTCGGAAGAATTGATAACTTAGTCAGCGACGAACTGGAAATCAACTATGGTGTGAAACAATGAATTTATTTTTGCAAATAGGCCATAACACGGCACTTTTACACGTCAAATTATATGTAAAAAACTAGATGAAGCTGCAGTGTGCCACAAGGAAGCATTCTTGGTCCTTTATTATTCACTACCTGTATGAACGATATTCTTAACATTAACATTCCTAATGCTGATCTCATTCGCTATGCAAATGTCATTGTTGAATTGTTCCTTGAAAAAGTATAGGTAGACGACTACAGTAAAGCAGAACCAGGAATGACCAGGATTTAAAAATGTCTCGATATGAACCTGCTCGTGTGAAACGTTATAAAGACCAAATATATTGCTCAAAGAAAACACATAGCATGACCCTAATTTTAAAAATACATGATTGCTGTCGTTTCGGTTCTCTCAAATATAGCACTTCGTGCACGTGCAATGCTATTTATATAGAATAGAAGAAATAAAATACTTCGGTGTTTTACCGTGTTTGACTGCACGGTTAGCACTGTGGCTGGGCAACTGTTGGGCACAAATTGTTGTTTCGGATTTGGGTGGCTTGTGTACTTTTGTGAATTTGTATTTTTGCTCTGCCAGTCCCTGATTCAGAACTTTATCGTCATAAGGGGAAGATAGGCAAAATCAAACCTTATAAAACTCGAAAGGACTCAACACGCAGTACTAAAAACCCTGTTGCACATAGTTACAGTTAAGACCTATAGCGTCTATAGAGACGCTATAGGTCTAACTGAATAGTCAGTTTTGGAAAAATATTTATTGTAACACATTCACATTTAACACTCAAATTAGCATTCACGAAACGAAAAGACATACATACATACAGATTAAACGCCTGCACCCTGTAAACATAATGTGATATAGTTGACTGTACACGAACACAGCTAATAAGCAAAGTTCTCATCAACATCCTGGCTTATAAACCTAACATATGAAAATACAGAAAACAATAGCAAATAACATGCTGTCTGTAACTGGATTTTAAATAATGCCCAAAGTGACAGTCAACAAGTTTTTGTCTTGTGTGTGTAGGAATTTGCCATGTTGTGGCTATGCCCCATAAGTATTCATACCAGACTGCTACAAAAGACGTAAATGGAACCAAACGGGTGAACATACCATACGGTGATGCGGCCGCTGGTCTGCCCCTATATAAAAAAACTTCCTTTAAAACCAATGGTAGGCTAAGTTTTATCATGACAGGCCGAAAGTAAAAAATATTTGTTCTTAGGAATAAAATAATTAATGAAAATACAAAAACTATTAACTTAAAATTAGTAAAGTAGCTATTATTGGACTATAAAAAATATTATTGCATTGAGAGCTACAATCCATCACAATTTCAAAGGAGCATGTGCAGATCGGTATAAGCCTTGCGTGGTCGTATGCCCAATGTCATAGTTTCGCTATCATTGGTCAAGATAGTCTTTGTTTCGTAATAAAATTCAAAACATGCGGCAGAGCATGTCTCGTATCTGCTTGAATCTCAACTCGAAACAATTTTCTCAAGATCTTTTTTGCATCCTAATGCAAGTTATACCGTATATTTTATGTGCAGGATGGTATTCCAAATTGATAATACGCCTCTTATATCTATCAATCTTGTAGTTCTATCCTTTTTCAAAGCCTCACTCAAACCCTGTAGCCTGGTTGGTGAGAATGGAACATGGAAGGCTTTTATAAACTGAAGCAAATATATTGAACGTGAAATTGATAAACTGATATGCAGCTTGATAAGCAGCATGGAAGGCTTCTGATCTCTTGCAGCTTAGGTATTTTTATCTAATTCTAGGAAAACTAAATTTAAATAAAAAGTAAAAACGCAGTGTTTTACGGTTTTTAACAATTCATAATTTTATTTTACATATAAAATGTTTGTGGTTAAATTATCCAACAGTGGGTAGGCGCATAGTAACATATGTAAGTAGGCGCGGCGGAGTATATAACGGATCTCAACACTGTTGGACAATGTTGAAAAAGGACCTAAGTTACATATAAAAGTGCCCATTATTCTTTCTCTATACTACATTGTATAGTTAGCTCTCATGTACTCGGGTTTTATAAGGTTTGTCTAAACAATAACAACGCGGCTCTATAGGTTCATTAAATTGTATAACAATATAGTAAATTTATATCTATATTAATAATATAGTTTTTTAGTACTTTTATATCTCGGGAAGTCTTTTAAGAACGAATAAAGAAAAAAATATTGCACATAATGTAATCGGACTCGTTTTGAAATGAAAAGCTGAGTAATGTGAAAATTTCTTGTGTATTTCCAATGAAATTTGCGCAACTGAGTAATCACTAGGGGAACGTATCTCGGGAGGACAGTAGGTGAGACGACAGGCGAGCGAGACCGGCGCTTACTACTAGCCACCGCGGGGCGCCTACACTTACATTATGTTTACTTAAAGAATTCAATTCATGTGAGTCAACTTTTTTATTTCCATACTGTGTTCTATAATAGTAATTTATATAAGATCATATATAATTTTTGCAATGTTAATACATTTTACATAACAAACATCTCCATAGTGTACATACATACACACGCAGTAGCGAAATGTCGCGCGCGTATCGGTATATACAGAGGCGGGGCGCGAGCGCCGCGCACTGGCCTGGCCGCGCCACCGGCACTCTACAAGTGATGATAGAAAAAATTAATTGCTACAATAATATCATACAAATTAATGACTATTCCCTTACAAATTATTATATCTACTTTTAGCATTGTTCTACTCCAATATAATCCAAATTAACTTTTTAGTTTTACCGAGCTGTATGCATGATACATGAATAGTTTTCAGTTCGCTCTGACCGATTTTGCCCAATTAAGTGTTCCTCTCCCGCAGCTATGTATAGAAATCACACTGCTATAAATTTATAATAAATAAATGCCTATTTACACTATGTAACTATACAAAATGATAGTACGACGAAATTACATTACTGAATCGAGCATCTAATTGAAATGAAAATTTCGTACAACGATCTACGGGCGCGGGCCGAAACGGCGAGGCCAGGCGCGGGCCGCGCCGCCACGTCCCGCGTACACTAAACAAATTACATTTTTAATTTTTTCTTATTCATTTTTGTACAATCATATTCAGCCAAAAGCTGGGTGCCCGATTAATACATTTATCGGTGATCCGAAATGCGTTACAATCGATCATGCATCAATAATACATACAACTTTAACTTATTTAAACAATTTAACAATATTAAAAAATCCTAAAGTAAACTAGAGACCTATGTAAACGTATATAAAATAGTAATAATCATTATGACAGTGCATCGGGATGCGGACATATTAACATTTAGCACTATTAGTAATTTGTAGTCACACCGAACATAAGTCGAGCCGCTAAGCGGGACGCGAGCGGTCCAACGGCGCCTGCGAGCGAACCGAATCCACAGACATCGGCACGATAGCGTATCCGGACGACCGACCGTTAGAGGTATTAAAAATTAATAACGTCATTAACAAAAATGTAATCGAATAGAAAATATCAATACATAGCTGAAAACAAATTCAATCGCATTATTCTAGGTCGTGGATGGAGGGTGTGTGAGGACATCACTTGGCGAGTGCGGACGCCGCCCCCGCCACCGCCCCCGCCGTCGCCCGCTTGTGGCTGATCTCCAGCTCGCCCAGCCGCTTCCACAGCTCGTCGCGCTCCTTCTCACGTTTTTTCTCTCTGCAACGACAACATTACGTCAATACCACGTACGTTTCACAACCATCACTAACATAACTAATAGACTCTATCACTCACTTCTGCCTTTCCGCCTTATAGCTAGCAGTGAGCTCATCGAAGAGCTTGGAATTCATCTCCATGAAAGTCTTGAGCACATTGTAGACGAGCGCCACTATGGTTTGGTTCCAGTGCTCCTTGCTGATTCGGTACAGCGCGGGGAACATTATGGGCATTATGACGTGGTTGTTTTCTTCCATCAGTGACATTATATATTCGTTGTTCCAAAAATATAGTGCTCTTTCAGCCACCTGGAAGCAACAAATTATCTATTTTAGTCAATCATATTAAAATACATTTGTAATGCTGCAACTTTGTATACCACTTTATCGCTATATTCCTTGCAACTATATCAGCAGACTACAATAGTGATATATGTAGATTAACAGTAGCACAAAAGATGCACAAATACATCATTTGCCTAACAATACAAATAACACAGTCAAGCTAAGGTCAATGGTAAAACGCAGTTCGCCCTTACCGCGATAGAATACCCAAGAGTTCAAGAAATTTAGTTTTTTAAAGTACATAGTACCATACAGCTCGCTTACTTGCAAGGCTTATCTTCAATGTATCGAAAAAATAAAGAAGATATTGCATTATGTGAGATAGGAACCTCCTATTTCCATGAGACAAATGTTTGCAAAAAATTATGGTACTTAAGACTCACCTGAAAATGTGGACTGGAAACACATTTAGCTATTTGTCTGAACAACGGTTCTTGTATTTTGACGAATTGAGCGGGCTCAATTACATCCAAAATCTCCTCAATTTCACCCAAGAACATAACCTGGAAGATGATAAGGTCATAAGTATCTGATGTTGAAGCAACATTACTTATACATGTTCTGTATATAACTTGAAATTTTACAACAAAATACCTCTTTTTGCGAACACGTCTTGGGCCAGAACTTGAGAAGTCCGCGCACAACGTGTTCTGTAAGTGTAGCGTCTTTCTCGAGGAACTGCACCACGCAGTAGGCCAGCTGTGCGTGGTACAGCGACAGACACTTCACCTTGTGCAGGGGCAACAGCACCTTCACCAGGAACTGTTTGTGCTCACTCTTCAACGGAAGTGCAAATCCATTGATTATACT